CATGTAGTTAAAAAATCTTGAAGGGAATATCTTCTCAAGTTTGCACATAATGAGAAATTATTATTCTCACTAACAATTAAGGACCTAGCCTCTTCATTCAATCTGGATGAGCATAAGTCTTTTAAAAAAAATACTTAGTTTGATTAAATGATTTAAAATTGAATCAGATAAATAGTTGAAGGTAGTGGGTAGAAGGGATTCCATGAAAATGTGATAATCATGATTTTTTCATCCAAATAATCTATTTGATTTCATGTCAAATCTTCTACTAAGATTAGAAGCATGTACACCAAAGATTTTTAGTCTATGTACCCATTCACAAACTTATTATCTCTGTTCAAAATTGAAAGTGAATAAGGCTTTTGGTTTTAGAAGTTGTCCATTTCCACCATCCCTTAACTCTAGATTTTTCTTCCTCCTATAAATATCCTTCAAATCCATCTTCGCTTTTACATTATCATTAGATTTTTCCTTGATATCCATCACTATGTTGAATACATTATCAAAAAAAAAATATCAATATATATTACATCTAAATTATGTCTAATCAAATTTGTTCTCTAATATGTCAACAACAAAAAAATGTTCTTTTTTGCTTAATTGTGATACACTCCATACCCTGATACTTTGTAATCAGCTAATGTCGGTGAGTCAACTATCACGGTATCAACTTCTCTCTTTCAAATATTTGCTCACTAGATAACCTTAGTGAAGGTTGTGCCATCTACACTTTATGTTTTTAGTGAAAGCATCATTGGCAGATAATAACATACGTTGACAGTCAAACCAAATGTTCTTTCCTCCATGATTTAAAGTGAATAATTTAGTAATTTTTATGTAATATGGACAAGCTAACTTCCCTAGAGTGTTCCAACTTGAAAGTATATCATATGTCAGAAGTTCACCAATTGTCCAAAATAACACTACCCTCATTAAGAAATTTCATTTGGTGGAAACATCATATATAGTCACTTCTTCTTCCAATAATAATTTAAGGTCATCGATTAAAGGTTACAATAATACATCTATATTTACTTTTGGATTATGTGGGCCTAGAATAATAAGTGTAAGAAATATATAGGGTGTTGTAATACATATTTATGGAGTAAGATTATCACGAGCCAACATGAGTAAGATGAAGTATTTTGGTTAAATGGAGTAAAACCATATACACTTAAACCTAATCTTATATTTTTTGTGTGGCAAAACTAGGATTTTTTACGATCAAAGTGATTCCATGTCCTAGCTTCTAACATATAAGTTAAAACACCTCTTTATATGATGTGTTCGCTATATGATCTCTATTACACATATGAGATCATAGATGCAAATAAATATTGTAGTATCAAAATAATAGATAAGTAAATAAATTAACTAATTTACACATCCTTTTATTTTCTATTTTTCCATATTTTGGTTTAAATATTGGCGCATTTCAATGTGACATGTTATCTTTAACATATCATCCTTGTAGTATAACATGCATTTGTTAATATAAAAATCTATTTTTGTGGCTCTCAAACCTAGCCTCGAAATTAAGTTTTTAGTCCTATATAAATATGTTGGAATTATATTATATATAGGATTGATCTTCTTAAGCAACCCAATAAGTTTATTGAAATAATCTTGAAGAACATTGTACTTTATCTTTATGCTTAATATTTTCATAGTGATTGATAATTATGAGTGAGTAGTGCTCCCATTCTAATTTGATTATTATGCATCACACAATAAATCATAGAAATATTGTGCCTCCTTATTTGGTGGCTCTTTGATATATTGTCAAAATTGTGGCCCGGATGCATCATACACTAATTCTTCATACATCCTAATATTTTCTTCCTTAATTGTGTTAGAATTTCTTAATGGTTCGCATTTAAAGTCAAAATGCATCTCATACTCACATGTGAAATCTAATACTAATATTCTAGCATGAATCCTCTTTGATATAGATCAATAGTAACCTCATCTAGTGTGAGGTAGCTTGTTTTTTGTGCTTTGAACAAAGATAATGAAACCTCCCGTATGATATAAAGGAACGTAGTTGACATGCCACCTTTATGAAAAAAGTCATTCCATTAATGAATTCTTCAATTAATATCTTACATCCAAGTAGAAATCTATTATACATATAATATCTTTGATTTTGAATATCCATATTAGACTTGAGCTATAAAGTCTTACACGTAAACATTGAGATTTTATTAGATAGAATGGTATTATATGTTTATGTCAATATATGATGGTTATTGAATTGGTTGGATGGGATAAATGTTTGGCTAAGGCTTAATTTAGCTTATTATTTGGCCTAAGCTATATTAAGCTTAATTTAGCTTAATTTTGTCCTGTAAGCTACAATCATATTTAGCTTATTATGGTCTAGATGTGATTAATAACTACTACAAATATATGTATAGTATATGCCATGATTGTTTTTTTATTTTATTTCAAGAAAATTATTGAACCTTAAATTTAATATAAACGAGTTGTTTAGACCTTTCATAATAACTTTGAAAACTTTTATACACTACATAAAATAGAAGCATTGTTTAAAAACATATTTTGAATTTTCAAAATGCTAACTAAGCCCTTATTTATTGAGCTAGAAAATATTATGATTTTTCATGACTTTATAAATGGTTTTGAGTATCAAAATTTGAGAAAAATAATTCTAAAAGAAAAATAAAACTCAATGAAGTCCCCATAAATATGTTTATAGACAATTTTGCTAAAATTATACATTTATCATTCCTCTACTCCACCATAAAAGAAGAAAAAATATTTTTGCTAGGAAATCATTTCCATCAAATCATATTCAACAATGTATAATGATATTGGAAGCTTACCAAATGCGTCCGTGAAAGTGAACGATAAGTAGAGAAGATCAGCGGAGGAATCCTGGACTAGACTTCAAGAAGAGATGGTGAATGGAGTCAAATCCGTTCGGGAATGGGAAATGGAATGATTGGGACAAAGGGGTAGGCTACAATAGTTATTTTGCATGAAAATAGAACTTTGAAGTCTTTTTTTGCGTGAATTAGTGGAGAAAGACACGAAATAGTGGAAATAGTGCTCTTTTCTATAGAAATTTCTACAAGAAATCCATTGACACATTTAAATCCGGCGAGAATCCCCTAAAAATTCAACCGAAAAAATTTGTCAGAAAACATATAGTGCTTGTGTCATTGTCAAGGTTGACTTTATGAAGAGTAGTCACAAGGGTCAACTAATAGGTCGTACTCACTCTCTAGGATGAATTCTTATATCATAGTCACTTACTTAAGGAGAGTTCTCTTGTAAGCTGGTAAATCTTCTTAGAGCTAAGAATGAATATATTGAGTTTTCTTAGCTTAAACTAGCATGATTTAGCTTGAATTAGATTGATATAGCTTAAACTCAATTTTTTTTTATATTTTGATGTACATTTAATAGTGGCTAGGATACCAGATAGTCAAGTCAACACAGCCTTAGCTCATTAACCATCTTACAAGTCAAGCTTATCGAGCATCAAGCTTAGTTTTTTTATCTCATATTATACAAGCTAGAGTTTGAGCTTGACATGAATCGACTTATCAGCTTGTGAGCAGGCTTAGTTAAATCAAGATCCTTTATTTTAGTCCTCTGATTTATGGCGCTTTTGTTGGTCTCGTCTAAATCATCACGCCTTTCCATACTTCAATCATCATTCAATTAAATCGAGCTCTTATCATGTCTTCCACAACAATGGTATTGATTTCGTCGTAGCTTTATCTAGAACACTCCTGTTGTGTCTTCCCCCATGGTCCCATCACCACCTTCTCTAGCAAGCTCCCATTGTGTCTTCCCACAATTGCAATTGTATCATCCCTCCAATGAGCTCTATTCATTTCATCCCCAATGATGCTTGTCCCACCCCTATCTTTTCCAACGAACTCTAGTTTCAAGATCCCCTAATGATGATGTTCACGCCATTACTGTCTTCTCCAATGAGCCTCAATCGAGAGACTTACAACTTCCTATGGCTCGAGCTTGTGAGTTGAGCTTGAGCTTGTCGTTATTCCAGCAAGCTAAGCTCGAGTTTTAGCCTAGCATTGAGTACGCGAGTCGAGCTCTCGTTAGCCCAAACATGAGGTCCACTCGACTCATTTAAACACCTAATAATTGCTAGTTGATTACTATATTAAGAAATTTCATCAAGAATAATAGATAAAAATGCATGTTAATAAATATATTTATAATTGTTCTTCAAATTATTATTTTGCAACCAACATTACACTTAATGAAATTTTGAAATATTAGGGCTTCATTTGGGACATCATTCTTCCCAATTTGCTTTCCACTACTTTTTTTTGTTGTTTTTAAAAATACTTCTACTTAAAAAAATTGCTTTCTATACAATAATTTTATAAAGAAATAAGAAAATGGTCTCAAGTCTATTATTAGCTGTAAAATTGACGCCAGGTGTTATTTTTGTAGAGAAAAATTCATCTTGAATTAATTATTCGCAGGATAAATATAGGAAGGAATGGAATCCTCCTAAAACAAAGTGAAGGAGTTGAAGGGAAGAATTGTTGGTAATAGGTAGGTGTCAGACGTCTTAGTTGTTGTGCCTAATCTTATTTGATGGATAATTATATTCAACCCTACCGATAATTTTTTATAGAGAATATTAGATAGTAGCCCTTATTTAATGGATAAATGAGGCTTTCTGCTCAAGAGGTCGCCATACAATGGAGTCCGAATAAGTTTTTTTTTTTCTCCTTTTAGCCTTCTGGTCATTTAGTAACGTTAATTTCGATTCGCGCACTAATCTTGATGCAGCACACTCTTAGCACATCTCTTGAGGTTCGTGGCATATTCTCCATCAAGATTAGTGTCTACTGCAGCTTATTAAAAAAAATCAATTTTTAATAACAGCTTCACAGCTAATTTTACAAAAACTGCAGCTGCTCCAAACAAATTCCAAATGACCGAAATCAAATGAACTGATAGAAAAAAAAAAGCATTGAAACACCAAAATCTTTTATACAAATTTATCAATTGATGGGAAGAGGGCAGCATAACTCATGATAAAATTACATAGTACTATTCTGATACCTACAATAAGTCTTAAATTTTGAGAGATTTTTACAAGTTCTTCATTTCTTCACATCTTTCTTCTCGTCTTTCTTCTCTTCTTTCTTCTCCCCCTTCTTCTCTTCCTTCGCTGGCCCAACTGATATTATATCAATCTTTCCTATTTTCTTCAGTTTCTTTGCAATTGCTACAGTGTCCATCTCACCTATCACAGTCATCTTCTGGTCCTTAAGATCAGCAGCTATTGAATCAACCCCTACGAGCAAAAAATATTTCACATAATCATTTATTAATTTCTTCTAATATCTCTCCTAATCAAACTTAGTTTCTTAGTTAAAAACAGATTAATATGAGATTAAGAGCTTTGCTAATGAATCTCCTGTTTAATTTGGCCAGATTAAGAGCTAATCAGCACAGAAATCATGGAAATTATCAACAAACTGTTGATGACACAAATAGAAGAAATTAGCAATTAGACTGTACCATAGATATCAGCAACAGCTTCTATGGCTTTCTGCTTTGTTTTCTCATCATTCATAGCCAGAATCTTCAGAACAATTTTCTGCTGTGTTTCAGACAACAGAAGAGAACAAAACATAATGAAAAAAAAACAGACTTTAGGAAATGAGAAATTTTCTGAGTTATAAATTCATCTGCATACCTGTGCCATCTATATGATGAAGAATAGAGAGAGACCTCCTCTGTTTCCTCTGCTTTCTCTCTATGCGGATGATGAGATGGAAATACTTAAAGTTTGAAAGATATGTATTTCTGGATATATAATTTTCTGCTTAGCTGTTCCTGCGGATCAGTTAGTTTATGGCATTGGTTTTGATTTATTGGTGGCCAACCTATATAACTTTTTGGCTATAATAGGTTCAATTATGCTTCTATTTGATTCGAACTAGCTTGAAAAGTTAGGATATCTGGAGCTAATTTTCTTCGAGCGGGTTCGATCAATTCAAATTTCATGCAGAATGAGCTTGAAGATTGGATCCGGCTCTGAATAGGACTATTATTTGATTAAAAATTAATCAAATTAAAGTGTGATATCTATGATTAATGATATGAGCATTTTAGAATATTTCTTTAGTTGTGTTACTGATTCAGCTGTCGCAGCTCATCTTGATCGGTACATGACTTGCAACACAGCTCATCTCGGATTCAAAGCTTATATATTGATGTATGTGTGAATTTATCTTAATAGATAAATATTCTCTAAAAAAATAAAAAATAAAAATAAAAATCCGCCGGCATGAAATTTAGAGGACAGCAGAGGATAGTAGGGAGATGTCATCTTTAGATGTGGACGTGATGGCATGGCCAAAGAAGCCGGCCTTTATTATATAGAAAAATATGTCCATTAAAGTTTTCAAGATTCTCCTTTTCAACTATTTATGTCTGTTTATGGTGACAAATAACTGCTTTTGCAGGTTATTAGATTGCAATCTAAAAATAAAAAATTGCATCTGAGTAATTTAAAGGCTATTAAACTTATATTGAGATTAGTACTTAAATATTGAATCTAAGAGCTCGTAAATTCATCCTCATGAAAATTGCATCATAATATTTTTTTTTTCTTTTCAATCATTATTTTGTCTCTTGAATTTAATAAGAATCCATAAATTCATCTTAAATCTAAATAAAGGTATTGATTGGGTTTACATTCAAATAAAACGAAGAGCACTATTTGAAAATTCATGTACTCGAAAATCACTATTTTATTATATTAGTGAAAGTCTAATTAATGTATGTCATTTTCATCAATGTTGATGTCCGCCATAATTAAAAGGCTACTCACAATTAATAACAAGTTCACACATGTTTTTGCATGTAATGTTAATGCTGATCAAAACTATATATTTCGGCCCTCATCATTATCGCTAATGCAAAGGCGGCTTAAAGAACAAAAATATATCCTTGATTTTTGTGTGCTTCATCCAAGCAAAGTGAAGGTGCGTAGTCTCACCCTCCTTGTGAAGGCAGAGAACCTAGAATCCTTTTTCAGCCTCCTAGTGAAGGCAGATAACCTTGAATCCTTTTTCACCCTCCTAGCGAAGGTAGAAAACCTAGAATCACTTTCACCCTCCCCGGTGTGATGGAGTAGCTAGATCCTTTGACACCAAAAAGGTTTTCTTCTCAAAACTTCCCTCAAGATAAACCTTGACATAACAAGGAACTCAGGTGCAAGTTCACTAGAGCAACCATGTGGAACTCCCTCTTATACTCCCTTAAAACCCCAAAGTTTTTCTCCTCTCTCACAAACTCCACCCTTTCTCTCTCAAGCTCTAGGTTCTCTCTTCATGCTTTCTCCAAAGAAAAATAGCTCAATGAATGCTTAAAAGACTCTTTTAAAAGTCTTATAAGAATGCTTAAATAGAGGGCTTCAAGAAACTCAAAAAATGTAATTCTGTCAACTCTAATTATACAATATGATTAGTTCACAATATCCCGATTAATACTGTTTAAAGAGTAAGGCATTGTATGATCAGTTCAAGTATTTAAGCTGGTCGTCTAGTACGATTAGTTGAATAGAAATGGATTATCGGCCTGTACGATTTGTGACAAATAAATATTCCCATGAAAAAATTAGGTCGTACAATACAAATTATCCAATCATATGGTATAATCTGATTGGATTTGATCCCTAATTACAGGATTAACTTAGGCAAGATGTGATTATATCTTACAAGACGATACCTATCATACAGTATGATTATTACATAATTTATATTTTAAAATATTAACTAAATTATGATTGGCGATTGAGATCTTCATTTCAACTGATCATCCTGTACGATTTGTATTGTACAATATAATTTGTTCAAATAGCTTTAATTATTTTAATTATTCATTTTAAAATTTTTTTGAATATGTGATCATATACATTAATATGTATCGTATATGTACAATTAGTTCAAAAAATTTTACCTCTAATTTTTCTCACTATCTCACTATCCTGAGTGCGTGTACACATGATTACTAGGATAACATACACCCTTACAAGACTTGACTTAAAAAATAAAAAATATATTAATGAAAATTACACTCTTTTAGTATATCCTATTTTACTAAATCTTGAGCCCTAAATCTTCATTGAATGGTGAGTGATATACATAAAATGTTAGTACACAAAAAAAAATGCACTACAAACACTAGTAGACATAAAGATGCAATCTGTAATATATGTATCATCAAAACTTTAAACTCGATAGCCCAAGTTGTATCAGCAAGCTATAATGATTTGATGGGGAAATCATGTGATAGACGCATATAGGCATAGAACCTAGATCCCAAATAGGGGGTTAGCCAATGCAAGTTGTGCTGCGCATGAATGTACTGATGACAAGTCTTACACACCACTTCACACTGAAGTACGATCATGGGTTCATGTGGAAGCAAGGTCGCATGGGCTAGACACAAGTAATTTTTTTATGTGGAGGTATCGGATGTGGGTTGTACAAAAGTAAGGTTCAGCTAGGCATTGGTTTTGAGTAGCATAGAGGTAAGCGATTCAGGTCTAACCTACATAGAGCTTGAAAGAAAAAAAAAAGTTAAAGTGATGATTTGCATAGGAAAAATAACATTGTGTTGTTTGGTTACTTGGAACCAAGCTGAGTCAAATGAAATTAAGATAATTGATTGTCTATGTGATTATTATGGTTGGGTTACAAATCAGTGTTGATTAGAATTGTGTTATTTTGGCTACGTGAGATAGATGAAAATTTTTAGAGTTTTTGAGATTTGGTGGAGCAATGGATACTTCCACCTCAATGGTGGAAAAGGCACCGATCAATGTGGGGGTTACACATCCTCTCAAAATTGTGATTAAATTTGATTGTAAAGAAAACTTTAGCCTGTGGAGATGTGAGGTGATGAATGTGTTAAGCTCTATGAATCTAGAGTATGCTTTGGATATCGATGCATGTCCTAAAAAAATTTATGAGGGAGATTGGCTGAAGATGAATCGAAGTGCTTGTGGCTTGGTCAAAAATTTCCTATCTTAGGAGATAAAGTATAGGGTGATCATGGAGACTTCTACTGTGAAACTATTAAAAAATTTAGAAATTAATTATCTAATGAAGAGCATGAAGAATCATTTTCATATGAAATGCTAGATCTACAAATTTTCAATGAGACAAGGGGTAATTATGGATAAGCATCTGAATGACTTCACAAAGATGTTGGTAAGGGTTATGAAGATATATCATAAAAGTTTAGTTTTTTTATGGGAGTTCATCATAACAACCTTTACTATCTTCATGGTAGAACATTGACTTGAATAGTTACTATTTTTGATGATTCTCTTGCGCCACTATATTATGGCATAAAAGGCTAGCTCATGCAAAAGAGGCTTCACTTATGGTTTTAGTGAAAAAAGGTTTGATCAAAGGAGCGAGAAGTTGCAAGCTTGAAGTTTATGAACACTATGTTTGATAAGAAGACATAGGTAACTCTTGGTACTGTTATCTACAATATGAAGGAAATTCTTAAGTATATTCACATAAACGTTTGGGGCCCAATAAAAATAACATTATTCAGCGGGCAAAGAAATTTGGTCTCGTTTATTAATGATTCTTTCAAATATATTTGGGTGTACACCATGAGGTGCAAGAACAGGGTATTGGATATCTTTAGAACTTGAAAAAAGTGGATTGAGGCTCTGACTAGTAAAAAGATCAGGTGTATCATATTAGATAATGGAGCAGAATACACATCAGATGCATTATAATTGTTAAACATTTAGGATAGAACACTAATTCACTATTCGGAGACACCACAATAAAATAGGATAGCAGAGAGAATGAATCAAACTTTACTGGAGAAAATTTGGTGTATGTTATCAAATGCTGGGTTAAATAGAGCCTATTCACTAAGGAGATAGAGTATATATGTCACTTGGTGAGCTATCAACCTTTTGTAGCTACTAGGAAGAAAACTCCAAAGGAAATTTGGTTGGGGCATTCTGCCTTATACTATGAGTACTTGAGAGTTTTCAGGTGTCTAGCTTTCTATCATATTTATAATGACAAATTGAAACCTCGATAAAAAAAGATAATCTTTATTAGCATCAGGTGTGGAGTCAAGTCTTCAAATTTTATAATAAAATAGAGATGAAGATTATTATTAGTAGGGATGTTACATTCAACGAGGTGAGTTCATTGAAGCCTCGAGACTTAAAGTAGGTGGAGAGTTCTATTGGGACCATAGATGTACAACAAAAGTTAAAGTTTGAGGTAACTTCATTTACTCCATAGATTTTAATTATTTTTACCTATGTACCTGATTATGTTATAGATCAAGAGGTAGATGATGATGTTGAGGATGATTCTGGCTCAAGAATTTGTTATTTAGAGCAAGACTAGGTGCTAGAATATCTCAATACCATCTTGATGAAGGATCACATTAGTTTTATATTTTTAGCCATGGTGGCTAAAATTCCATGTCACTAAAAGGAATCCGTGGAAATTCCTAATAGTGATCTTTAGAAAAGCTCTGGATGAAGAGTTGAATTCTCTTTAAAAAAATTCTACTTGGAGATTGTTAATGCTTCCTTCTAGAAGGAAAGTCATTGAGTGCAAATTGATCTGTGTAAAGAATGAAGGATCTCATGGAGCTGATGTATGATACAAGGCCATATGTGGTAAAAGGTGCTACACACTAATAAGAGATTTATTATAATGAGATATTCACTCTACTAATTAAGCATCCCTCAACCCATAGTCACTTGGCACTTATAGTACACTAGCTCTTATTTTGTAACAAAATGATCCAAATATTGCACAAGTAGATGGCATTATAAGAAGA